TAATAATAATAAATTTATTTTTTTAAAAAAAGAAACTTGAAGTTTTTAAGTTAACAGGTTACAACCCAAGTTGACAACAGTATAAAATTTCTCAGTCAGAACAGTTGTCAAATGTACTTAGGTCATAGTTTAAAAGCTCTCTTGGTCCTGGCAATTGTTGCCTCTCTTCCCAAATCCTCCTGCAAGGTCGGAGAAAGGTCCAGGCTCTGGCTCTGGGGAGGAGCAGTCTCAAATCAGCTCTACTTCAAATCAGTGTCTGCTTCTCCGTTAATGCTCTTGTGTATGTGTTGGTCTGACTGGTGTCTGAATCTCTCGTTCAAGTGATAGATGCTGCATTCTCTGCTGCTTCTTGCTGGTAATGAGAGTCCCACTTTTGTTGCTAAATTTTTCAATTTAAACTTGGTATGATTTACTCCCCTGGTTTGTGTTTTAGCACTCAGCCCTGTGGTGGAAATCACAGCCCATGCACTAGAAAAACCATTTGCTTGCACAACAATTGCTTAAGAAACAGCCACTTAATCAGAGCAAACAGGTATGGTTTTAAATCAGGAAAGGTGTGTAGAAAGGTCTACCCTTTCATCATACCTGTTCAGTCTGTATCCTTAGCAAATACTCTTAGAAGCTGGACTATATGTAGAAGAATGTGGCATCCTGTTTGGAAGCAGACTCATCAACAACCTGCATCATGAAGATGACACAACCTTGCTTTCTGAAAGTGAAGAGGACTTGAAGCACGTATTGAAGAAGATCAAAGTATAAATTACACCTCAACATTAAGAAGACAAAAATCCTAAAAAAAAAAAGAAAAAAAATCCTCGCAACTGGACCAGTAGACAACGTCATTATAAATAGAGAAGAGATTGAAACTTTCAGGAATTTAATTTTACTTAACTCCATAATTAACACCCATGGAAAGAGCAATTGAAATATAAAACTGCATTGGGCAAATTTGCGGTCAAGGACCTCTTTAAAGAGCTAAAGAGCAAAGATGGCAGTTGGAAGCCTAAAGCATAGTGGATCCAAATCATGATCTAGTATTTCCGTTTCCAATTGCTTTATATCTATGTAAAGGTTAGCCAATGAATAAGGAAGCTAAAGCAGTGGTGCCTTTGAACCGTGGTCTTGGAATGCATGTGGATGGACTTCCAAGAGAACGAACAAATCTGTACTGGAAGTTGCGCAGCCAGAGGGGTCTTTATCAGCAAGGATGATGAGACTTTTACATAATTTAGGAATGTCACTAGGAGGGGCAAGTTCCTGGAAAAAGACATCATGCTTGGAAAATGAGAGACTCAGGGAAATAGAAGAAGACTCTCAATGAGACGGACTCAACAATGATTGCAACAGTGATTTTAAGCACAGAGATGGAAAGAATGACAGAAGATCAGGCAGAATTTTGTTCTATTATACATAAGGTTGCTGAGTCAGAACTGACATGAAGGTACCTAATAACAATTATGTACAATAAAACATTTTCGAAAAGCTTGAACAATATGCTATTTAAATGGATATCTCTGAGTCATTAATTAGAAAATCCAATCCTTAGATCCAGAAAATAATTTTCAATGTGTTTAATTAGTTTTACTACTTCAGTAAGTACATTAATAATAGTGGCTTTCTTAGAGTTCAAGGTTTGGGAGTTCAGAAATAGCATAATTGTATATATCCTCCTGTGACATCGTCACTATGATATGCATAGTGAGCAGGAGTTTGGACTGGATGCAAACTTTCCTTGTTTTCCCCAGAAGGTAGTTTGTTGAGTGCTGTCTTATTCCTTGCCTCTTCATTTGAAAACCTTGGTTAAATTGGAGGGGTTTTTTTATCATAGTTTTTGAAAATATTATCATGGGCCATGGAATATTTTAATCTGTTTTTCTCTGTATAAAAATTTAGTAGTTTACCTAAAGTCATTTTGTTTTCTAGGTGAAGCAAAACATCAGTGGGAAAGACCAAATGTCAGACCTACAGAGAATCATCAAGGGATGCCCTGTGCGTATACATGACCTTGCTAAACTCCGTGCTCATGAACATAACTGAGTATCACTGGCAAAGGTGGACATACGGAGTCAGATTCCACCAACATTTGCTCACTGTCTGCTGTGTGCCAGCTTCTCACATGTCACCTCCTTGTGATGTGCTGTCATAGTTCCTAGTGCCCTGAGTGGGCCAATAAATTAATTCATTAGGTGTCTAATGGAAAGGCTGGGGCTTTAAATCTACCCAGAGGCATCTAAAAGAAAAGGTCCTTTCCCCGACTTCTGAAAAGTCAGGATTGGAAAGCCCTGCGGGGCGTGGCTCTATTCTAACACTCGTGGAGTCACCAGGCGTTGTGGTGGACTTACTGGTAACTGGTGGCTCCTTACTTGGTAGTAGTAGGGTCGTGCCCTGCATTGAGAAAAAGGCCTGCTTATTCTATTTGTCTTCTGTCACTCTGCACATGGTACTTTGCACATAGAGGTTGTACGCACTGAGTATATCAGAAAAGATTTTTAGAATTCCTCTATTAGGTGTCTGTTGCTAACAGAACATCATTTGGCCCCAGCTTACTTATTAAGTTACCTCACTAATTTCTTTACCATCTTATGCCCCCATCACCCGAAACAACTAACCCATTCCCCAATATCAGCCTCTTGTCACAATATTGTACACACATTTCATTCTCTCAAATAGACTTCTCTTGTTATTTCATGTTTTAAGCTATTTATCTTTTAAAAATTCAGTTCCAATACCATGTTCGTAAAGTTTCCTCCAAAATATCCAGTTGTGAGCTGCTCCGTCCCAGCATCTTCAATGTCCCCATCATTTTCTTGCAGTCACATGTTCACAAGTACTGGGAGCTCCATCAACTATGCTTTCCTCATCTCCTCTTCCCAAACCGAGCTCAGTATCTGGCATCAGGGAGAGGCCAACATATGAATGATATTGAGTAAAGATACTGACTGAAGATAGATTTATTAGTTCAAATCTAGGAGGCAAGATAGAGTCTTGTCATGATGTTGTTGTTAAGTGCTGTCGAGTCATAGGTGATTCATAGTGACCCTGTGAACAAAAGACCTGAACATTTGTATCACTTTCATCCTTTCCCCAGGTTCATAGGGTTTCTGGAGGCAAGCTATTTCAGAAGTGAATGCCACACCTGCTTCCATGCTTGTTGTAATCGGGGAGTTCCATCGAACACTGTCCACCAAGGGTAACCATTATCACACTTGACACATCAGTGTCACAGTGTTCAGCTTCACAGCAACCACGAGTTACCTCTGTACAGCAAGTGGACAGACCAGGGCTATATGACCTAGAAGAATGTTTGACCAAAAACAATTAAAACCAGGTCTGAGGGCTGCAGATTAAAGTCACCCTTTGGCTTGGTAGCATCACTTTCTGTCCACTAGGCCAACTGAGCTCTATGTTGTTATTGTTCAGGGCTGTCAATAGGCTTTTCACAGTGACCCTGTGAACAAAAGACCTGAACACTTATATAACTTTAATCCTTTCTCCAGCTTCATAGGGTTTTTGGAGGCAAGCTATTTCAGAAGTGGATGCCACTCTTGCCTCCAAGCTTGTCATGATGTAGAGCTGCTTATTTTAGCAGGGAAAGAGTGTGTGTGAGCTAGACTTGAGCAGATTGCAAAAAGTCCAGATCCTTGGATGTTACAGAAGCCGCTGCATCACTGTTCGCATCAAGCCGTGGTCTCCGTGGTCTGGGTCAGCACAAGGACCTGGCTTCCTAATCTGTAAAAATCTCACTTCCTTTCTAAATGGATCCTCCTTATGTCACATCTGTTTTGTTTCTGCTATTAAGAATGCACTTAAAAGAAGACTTTCAGAAGTTTGAAAAACCAGACTACCTCTTCAAATGTATGTTTCATTGTCAGTTCTGAACTTTCTGAAGAAGGAAGTAAATGTAAACATTTACTTAAACAGTATGAAAACATCCACGTTTTCTTCCAGAATTGAAAGCATATAAGTCAACAATTCCATGAGATATAAAACAATTGTGTAGCAGCGGGACTTCCCTCTTCCCTCAATTTATGTGTGTCTCATTTTACCTTTCATAGATCCTATCAGAAGTGAACAGATATCTGATTAGAGTTCAAGACGTAGCTCAACTTCACTGCTCTGATGAGGAAATCATTTTCTCTTTAAGGTAAAGTTTGCAGCCCTCCTAAGCCTGAGAAATCTTTAACAGCAGGGAAGTGCATAGTATTCATCTTGTTTACCTGGTATCTGGCACAACATCTGGCATATTGAAGGTTTACAATAAATGTTTGTATTGAAACTGAAAATTCGCACCCCTACACCTGCACACATCTAAAACACACCTCTGAGATGATGTGGCTTCCATCTCCTTGCTCTCATGACTGGGTAACTCCTGCCATTGCCCTTGATTTGGTTCTGACTCTTATTACTTATGCTCCGTCAGTTTTCCAAGGTTGTAAATCACAATGGGATCCTTCCCTCTCAGAGCTGCTGGTAGATTTGGACTGCTGGGGACATGTAGCCCTTGGGTTAGCAGCATAACTCACTGTGGACCAGAGCTCCCTGCATGACTAGGCAGATTGGGCGAAAACAAATCATCTCCACAGAAACAGAAACTCTGAATGTCCATAACCTCCTACTGAGGCAAACCCAGTGATCTCAACTGTGCGTGATTTCACACCATGGTCGGTCTGACTCTGAAAAATAGAGCCCATTTCATTACCCTCAGAGAGTTAATGAGATCAGGATTTGAAATTACCCTGCTATATGAAGTTTGCCCAAAGCTCAGAGTAGTAGAAGGAACGTTGATTTCCATATAAATGATAAATCTCCTTTCTCTTTAAAACAGGATAGAGAAATTTTATCTGTAGTCAAATAGTGAAGAGGTTCATCATTGTACAACAAATAATCTGTGTGACAACTACTCATTGCCGCCATGGTAGCAGTTATGTTAATGGCACAATGCTTAACAAAAAGACAACAGTCATAAACCATACAGGACATACATGAATGAGCATGATTGCATCCCAGCAAAGGCTCACCTATATAAGCAGTGTGACTAGTCTGTTGATCCTTGTTTTAAATGTATTGTTGTTAAGTGCCGTCAAGTCGTAGACAACTTACAGCAACCCTATGAATGAAAGACCTGAACACGTGTATAACTTTCATCATTTCTCCACGTTCATAGTTGTTTCCAGAGATGTTCTTAGTATTAATGGCAAAGATAATGGCTCAAAACAAATAACAACCAAATAGGATAAAAGAATTCCTTTAATTATAATGTTGTTGTTGTTATGTGCCATTGAGTCAGAGCAGACTCAAAGGTCAACCTCCACCAGGTTTTCAGAGGCAGTAAATCTCATGGGAGGAAATTGTCCATCATTTTCTTGTGCAGAAGTTGGTGGATTTGAACCACAACCTTTGTGGTTGGCAATGTAGCTCCTTGCCTCGTGGCTTCTAGAGCTCCCTTGATTCTAACAGAGTTATTTAAAAATTCGTTTTCATTCATTCAATGAATATTTCTGAGAATGGACTCAAAGACATAGACCAGAGTGGGGCTAAATGAAAGAAATCAGCTTCATCTCCTCACCCTATCTTCAGTGATTTTAAATTGAAAATCAAATCACAATTATAATCACTTTTCCCACTGTCAGCATACCTTATTGTATATTTTTTTTTTCAGTAGCGGTAGGAGAAAAGCTACCACAGCAGAAGGGAACTCCTTTGCACTGAATGGAATATAACTCAGTGACCGTTTGAAGTTACTAGCACACCTAGCAAGCCAGCAGCTCCCACTGCACTGGCGTGGATAAAACCTGCTGGGGATTGCTCTGGTTTTCATTGTAGAGTTCAGACTTCTCTATATAGTATTTGGACGACTGAGAAAAATACGTTCAAGGCTTTGAGGAGAATGAGGGGTTACTAAATTGTTTCACATTGTAGTAACAAGGTACATTTTCATTTAAATAGGTACTTTTTTACAACTCTTTGCCAAGCAATAAATACTAATGCAATTTCATATTCAGATTTAAAGCACAAAACATACCTACCTTCCAAAAAGGTACCATATTTAGCCTACATTTCTGCTTTCTGTTGTTTTAGAAATAAACCACATTGGTCAACAAATGACTTCTCTATCATTTCCATTGAAAATTTCAACTCCAAAAGCTACTCTGCTTACACACACACCTACAGAAACCACTCATGTAAGACTTTGCAGTGTACTGTGAATGTCAAGTTTTAGCTCCTGTCGTCTGATGTGATATGCCCTCAAGTCAGATTTGACCCACAGCTGACCCTCTAAACAGGTTTTCAGAGGCTATAAATCGCATAGGAGGCGATTGCTCATCTCTCAGCTGGTAGATTTGAACTGTGTACCATTGGGTTGGCAGCACAGCTCCTTAACATGTTTGGTGATCAAGTAGGACAGGACTCACATTATTATTGAGGAGGAATTTGATCTGAAGTTGCCCAAAGTGAGTGAAGTTCAGTCTCCTACTGACCTTATAGGACAGAGTTGAGTAGAACTCTCCCTACAACTAATCAATATGGACGTGATTGCTAGGTTCTTACCCGTGGAGCTGGTGGTGAATTAGAACTGCTAACTTTTCAGTTAACAGTCGACTGTTTATCCATTGTGCCACAAGGGACTAACTGGTGGTTTAGAATTCAAATCAAGGCCCGGTATGCACCCAGTGCTTTATCTACCCACTCATCAGACAGCTGGTTGGAAGATGTCCTGACCCCTCCTTATGATAAACTCACCAGCACAGCAGAAATCACTCAAGGAGTAAACGAATCAATTAAGAGCTATGGGACAGAAAGAGCCAGTAAATGTTTGAATTGCAGTGGGAAAATTTGCTCTTGGATTAAGGTAAAATCATAAGACCATTTTAACAGCTGGGAAATTAGAAGGACATTTGCCCCACTATGGATGAGGCCACAGAATTTTGGGTTTATTAAAGTTTTGTAAAGTACTATGCATCTTGAAAATTTTGTATTTTTTATTGGCTTTGAAGGATGCTCATCCCCAACCCTTTCACTTGGTGTTGCTCAAAGTACAAAACTCAAACTCCCCAGAGCTGGTGAATTTTATGTTTGTCCTTGAGTCCCCAGAAGGGGTCACTCACTTCCCAGATCCAGAGTAACTCTTCAGACGCATCTACAATACTACAAACCTTGTTATTGGCCTTCTCCAGGGCAATGGTCCTCATCAGCATTCCTGCGCTCTGGAAAAAAAGAAATAGCTGAATTCTCAGGGATACTGGACGGTGGATATGAATTGACTTAAAAAAAAATTAGTCCTATTGTATTTGGTTCCCATTTAGCGAATTTCCTACACTGGTTTCATGACCTGCGTTTCGCAGCGAGCCGCCCTCTCCCTTTTCCATTGTGTTGTTCCGCTCCCTCTGATCTAACTCCTCGTGCCCACCTTGCCGCTCAAAAAGCCGTGTGTTGATTTTTTGATCTCCTACAGTCGATTATTTATGGGAGTCCATTACTCACGGGTGATACTGTTTATTTGATAAGCCAAGAAAATAAAAACTTGGCTGAAAGGTGACCTCCAGGGGCCGCTTCAGTTCAAGTTTAAAGGGTATCTTCGGGGTGCCTCTAGTCGCCACGTTTCAGATCTGGCCTTTTGTGGGAATTTGAATTTTGCTCTCCATTTTCCTGTTCTCTTTTCCCTAGTCAGAAGTGGTGGCTGGGCACTATGATGTTCTTCTAGTCTCAGTTTAGAAGAGGCTGTGGTTTATGTTGTTGTTGTTGTTTAATGCCGTCGAGTCGTAGATGACTCATAGCGACCCTATGAACGAATAGCCTGAGCACTGTTCGTACATAGTTTCCGGAGGCAAGCCATTTCGGTAGTGGATGCCGCTCCTGCTTCGTGGCTTGTTTTAGTCGGAAAGCTCCAGCCAACACTGTCCACCGTGGGTACCCATTACCACAATTGGCACATCACTGTCACAGTCTTCAGCATCACAGCAACCACGAGTTACCTCTGTACAGCAACGCACAGACCAGTGCTATACCACCTGCCAGTGACAAACTGCAAACTGTGGTTCGTACAGGCTGTTGTTTTCTTGTTTGGGCCTTTGATTTCCTCCATATTCTCAGCTCCAAGTGAAAAGAGACCAAAACGTAGTTGAATCTCAGAGAACCACTTGCAAGCTTTGAAGACTACAGATACTACGTCCTGAACTAGGATGTAGAATATTATCTTCCACAATTGACCAAGTTGTCCATGGAGACAACAGTCTTGAGCTTTTTAACCTTGTTGTTGGGGTTCGATGCTGTTAAGTACATCTCGTAGCGACCATGGGAACCCTCTGAACCCTGTCCTATCGTGTGCCGTCCTCACCATCTCTGACACGTTTGAGCCCACAGCTGCAGTCACTGTGCTGACCCATCTTTCTCCTTCAGAGCCGCTAGTGGACGCTGGACACAGCCTTTTGCTTCACACTGCTACACACAGTGGATTGCACCACTTAAGTGCCCTGGCTAAGCAAATAACATACTCCACATAGTTAAACCTAGAGAACTCCCTGAGATTCTTGAAATCCCTCATCTAATACTCTTATAGTTCTCAGATATGGTTGCAACTAAGAATTTATCTCAGTACCTTGCTAGTTTAAGTGCAGATCAGCAGAACTGGAAGCGAAGGGGAGCTTGTTAGAAACATAGGCTATCAGATCATCTCAGATCTCCTAAATGAGAATCTTCCTTTTAATACAAACTCCAGGTCATTTAGTTGCCTATTAATGTTTATACTTTGTGCAAGTTACAGTCATTCTCATGTGAAATTTATTTATATAAATTGTTGCTGTTAGGTGCTGGCGAGTCAAGAAAGACTCCTAGTGATCCTGTGAACAGATCTGAACCCTGTCCTATTCCGATGCCATCTTCCTGACACACTAGAGCCCACTGCAACAGTACCATGTCAATCCACCTGCTCCAGACTCTTCCTCTCCTTCGCCAACCCTCCACCCTTCCAGGGATCATAGAAGGAATAGCCTGTCCTGGCAACATGCCCAAAATATTTCCGGCGAAGTGGTGGTAATTCTATCTGGAGTGCTTTGATGAAAATGCATCTGTCCTTTTGACCAATCCATTCAATTTTCGAGCATGCTCATTGAAATGTGGATATATAGATAAGGAATTTGTTTCTATGAAAAGACTACGTTTACAGTAACATTAAACATTAGTAACAATAATAATAATGAAAAGTCATTGGTTAGGATTATGAAGTATCTGTCCAGTGGGCAAGCTCATTTTCAAACAACTCTTACTGGGAACTCTGATGGCCCACAATATGGACCTTTGCTAAAAACAAGCAGTATTCATCAGGTCTGTCGTGGGGAAAGGCCTTGAATAATGTAGCAGCTTATAGATGGTTAGTTATTTAACAAAGCCAGTATGTATTTATTACAACTGCACTCTCTCCTTTTCCACGCAGACTCTACGAACATGTCCATGATCTCAGCCTGTTCCTCTTCAGCGATGTGCTACTGCTTTCCCGACGGAGCATTTCTTATATTCCATTTGAAAGGACAGCAAAAACCACCCACCAGTTCATTGCCTCAGTGGCCCTGCATAGACTACTTGTGGAAGATATTCCAGATTCCAAATGTATGCACTGCTTTTCTTCCAAGAGATAAATACCTTCAGATTGCTGTATTATATAAAACTACTAAAGTAGTAGAAAAGGGCTATAATTACAATTTGATAATATATTTTTAAAAAAATATTTCATGAAGCTATATAAATTCACCGCTAACTCTGAAATAGCAAAATAAAGGATTACTGGAATGTTCAGACACACACCCTAACCAGTAGAAAACAGTTTAAAAAAAGAAGAGAGCTTTTATTTATTACAAAGGTAGCCATGAGCCCACATCACTGAGAGCCCCCTTAGGTACAGGAAGTCCTCAGGTTAGTAACATCCAATGCCCCACTTAATGGGCATTGCCCTTTAATGTTATGCAAATTTGCTCGCACTTTGAAATGAATCTATCAACTCCTAGTCACAAAAAAATTCAGCACCACTGTCATCACAAGCTGCACTTGCAGCTTTGAGATCGCTGAAAAAGCTTCTGGTAGTCAGAAATGAGAGCTGAAGCTCTAAATAACTACTCTCTACTTCCCCCAAGGAACCTGTGGCGGAGTGGGTTAAATGTTGGCTGCTAACAAAAAGGTAGATGGTTTGAACCCACCAACTTCCCCGAGGGAGAAAAATGAAGCAATCTGCTTGCTTTAGAGAGAAACCCTGAGGGGTGGGTCCCTTCTATTCTAGGGTTACTATCAATTGGAATTGACTCAGTGGCAGTGGACAGACTCTTGAAATACTAGAGGTGTCTGCTGTATGTTAGATGTTATTTTCTTATTCTACTGGGTCTAATGGATTATTAAAGATTTGACAGTGGTCAAACATATGTTTGGCTGATATTTTCACATTCATACTCATCTATGTTGTTGTTGTGTACCCTCAAGTTGGAACTAACTCACAGTTGACCCTCCAGCGGGTTTTCAGAGGCAGTAAATCACATGGGAGGAGACAGCTCATCCTTCTTCAGTGGTGCTGGTAGAATCTAATCTCGTGCCTTCAGGATCGCAGCACAGCTTCTTACCACTAAGTCTTCAGACTTCTCCTTCCAGTAGTCTATATCTGTACTATAAATACTTTGTGGTGCTGGAGAAGAGTACTAAATACATATCCATATGAACTGCCAAAAACCCCCAGATAAAACAGATGTTTCCTGGACAAAGTGCATTGGGGTGTTACCTGGAGGTAAAGATGGTAAAGCTTTCTCTCATACTTTGGACGTAAAGCTAGACAAGGCTTTTCCTTGGAAAAGAACATCATGCCTAGAAAGATGGAGGGTCAAGAAAGGAGAGGACCACCACCAATGAGATGGATTCACACAGCGACTTGTAATGGGCTTGTGTTAGAAGTTGTAAGGATGGTATAAGATAGGGCAGGGTTCAACATGACAGCACCTATCAAGATATGGCCACCAGACCCCACGTGGAAGGAGTTGGGTGTGGTTAAAGCCTTTCTAAAACATGCTTCCTTTCACGTCCTCTGCTACTCTATAACCAGCTCTGCCCTGTATCAAAGTATTGTTATTTAACAGATGCAAGACAATTAGACTAAAAACCAAATTCTACAAAGTTGGTTTAATTTTGTCACCAACTCTCAACACCAAGTTTAGCTCTCACATCTTCATTTCTAGTAAAGACTTTCATTTCAGTTCCATTGTGGTGAGGGAAGAGTCTGTTGTTGTTCTGTGCTGTTGAGTCGCTTATAACTCATAGCGACCCCATGTACAACAGCTCTGAAACCTGCTCTATCCTGAGCCAACCTTATGTCCCTGGCACTCCTACCCCCGCTACCTCAGTCACTGAGTACTGTTTAGCTTTTTGATGCTCTAGTGCAATATTCAGTCTCATCTGACATCCATCTTGGTCTTTTTTTCCTCCTCTGCCTTTGCCACAATCAGCACCTGGACTAGTTTTCACAGCTGATGTTGAGCATCTCCAATGATTAAATATTACATGATGTCACTTAATAAAAATTATTCTATATGATTTGTAATAGAAAACATTATGATCGATGTCACATTCAATAATTTTAGGAAGTCATACTCAAAATTGGATTTATACTTGTTTTGAATCCCTATTTTTAGTTTTTAAAAGTAAGATGGTAGATTCTTACCTATTTTCAAGAATTTTAAAGCATTTCCCCCTTTTCTTTTGGTACCTACAAACATTAATGTGCCTCAAATATTTTTTTACAGATATCAAGAATGCATTTATTCTTCAAGATCCAAAACATGAGTGGACTTGTGCAACGGAAACTGAAGAGGAGAAATTCCTCTGGTTGTCAACACTCCAAAATGCAATCAAAAGCAGTCTAAAGAAGTGAGACCAGACTTCAAAAGAACATCAGAGGGACCAAATCCCCTGTAAAGAGAAAACAATATGGATTTTCTGTTCTGGAAGATCTAGTAAACGACTGAATAATTATTTGTCATAAATGACAGGCAAATGAACTAAGATTCTCTATAAGGTTCCTACCAACCTTTAAAACAGATCGTCCAACGTGCACTTGCGGGAGCTCCAAGCTCATAGTCCCCAGTGAGTTGTACTGTTAACCTAAAGGCTGTGCCAGCCTCTCTGAAGGTTCAAATCCATCAGGTGCTCTGACAGACAAAGAGGAGAGATACTCTGTGCAATTTAGTCTCTTGAGAACCCACTGCAGGGTCAGCTGTGTGAGTCTGGTTCTGATTCGACAGCCATGATTTGATGCTCAGTCGTGATGTGTAACAGCTTGAGCTCAAAATGTTTACTGTCCTATCTTGGTAGTTACTTTTCATGGACAATATCATGTAAGAATAATCTGCTAAAACCAAATGTAAGAATATTTTATTGTATTTAATAATTTTCTTACCTAATGAAAACTAAAATCAGAATGGAAAGTTCTTAAATGACCAATCTGGAGAAATTTTTTCAATTTTGGTAATTAAACTTTTAATAAACTTGCTTTAAAATATTTTTAATTTTGTGTGTGTGTGTGTGTGTGTTGTCAAATTGGATCCGACTGGTACAGGAGGAGATTGTTCCTCCTTCTCCAGTAGAGCATCTGGTAGATTTGAACCATGTGCCTCTGGGACTGCATTGCAGCCTCTTGCCACTAGAACTTTAAAATATTTTTAAGAACTAGAAATGGCAATTTATTTACTCAAAACCCTTAGTATGACTCTCCTAGAAGACATTAAAAATACATCACTACATACAAGACAGGGAGCTTTGGTGGCCTAGTAGTGAGTAGCTGTATTACCAACTCCAAAGCCAGCAGTTCGAGTCCAGGAGCTGTCCCTGGTGCGAAAATCATGCAGTCTCCTCCCCTGCAGTTCACAGACTCTAAAAACCTCCCGCACAGCACAGCACAGCACAGCACAGCACAGCACAGCACAGCACAGCACAGCACAAGGTTGTTCACAGGGGCACTAAGAGTTGCAGTCTACGTCACAGCACCTAACACACCTGTTTCTAAGCAAAGTGGAAAAGGTGACATCCTTATGCTGCCTACAAAGCACCATCTGATCTATTTTCTCCTGTGCCGGAGGGTTAGCTGTAAGTTGGTTCCAACTTGATGGCAGTTAAGACACACAAGGTACCAAAGTGGTCTTTAAGGCTTTTTGTTGGAAAGCTGAGTTCTTACTTGTTGTTGTTATGTGCCATTGAGTCGCATGCGACTCATAGCGACCCTGTGTACAAGAGCTCTAAATGCTGTTCTATCCTGTGCCAATCTAGCCATCTCAAAACGC